TCCAAAAACCGAATTGTCAATTCCACTGGGGCATCCATCCCTCTCTGTGGTCGTGAGCTTAAAATGGCAAGAAGTTTGTGTTTTGTTTTGTTTTTTTACATTTAGCAGCATGCTTGGTTATAGCTTCAAACCGGAAACAAAGCCCTGACTTAGGTGTTTGCTCCATGGAGAACTAACATTTGGAATAGCGTTTTCACAGAAATGCTTATGCTGTGTCACTGTCCATGGGAGGAGGAGCCCAGTGCACCCCCGCCCCTTTGCCCTGGGACCCCTGGCAGAGCGGGAAGAGGCGGCGAGGGGGAATCCCTGCATGCCAGCCCGACCCTGTGCCCGCCTCCCATTCAGTGCCATCGCCTCCCCCCTCCGCTCCGCTCTCCCCGGGTAGTCCTTCCACCCACAGGCTGCGACATGCCGGCCCTTCCGGGAAAGAGCCCGGCTAGGACAGGGAGAGGTGGCAGCAGCAGCAGGGCCCCCCTTTTGGAGCTTGGAGGTGGCCCCATCCTCGGCTCCCCCCCCCCGGTTGCCTTCCCCGGGAAGGAGCCCCGTGCACCTCCACCCCATTGCCCTGGGACCCCTGGCAGAGCGGGAAGAGGAAGTGAGGGGGAAACCCAGCGTGTCAGGCCCAATCCTGCGCCCACCTCCCATTCCACGCCATCGCCTCCCCTCCACTCTCCCTGGGCAGCCCTTCCACCCACAGGCCGTGCCATGCCGGCCCTGCTGGGAGAGAGCCCAGCTCGGGTGGGGAGGGGCAGCAGCAGGGCCCCCCTTTCAGAGCTTGGAGGTGGCCAGAGGCTGGTAGCACTGGCCTCTCGGGTCCTTGGCCAGGCAAGAGGCCACCTGGGCACACAGGGTGGCCAGCCAAGGGTGCAGCTCGGCAGGGCGTCCCCGCTGCTATTACGACTACTACTACTCCTGAGGTGGTGCAAGGCAGCATCCACGTTCTGGATTTAAAAGCTCCCTGGGCCTGGCCTGGAAAGGTGGGCTGGGCACCCTGGTTGCCTCTGGCAGCAGCCAACAAGCTGTGCCAGGCATGCCTGGCACAAGGCACTGTGATGATTTGTGTTTTTATGTGTATTAGAATGGGATATGTAGTCCTAGGATTGTCCCAATAGCATCCATTTTGATTTAAAGTCTGTTCTGTAGTAGGAAAGTTTTACATGCTGTTTCAGAGAAGCTTCGCTCTCTGGTTATCTCGTTGCTAAGCTGAGTAGAGAGCAGAGACTTTCGTAGTCAAAATAATTCTGCCACAAAGAATGAAAACAACTGAAGCTCCATGAGAAAGTTAGGCGGGACAACAAGACCCAGGAGGCATTCTGGGAAGAAGAAAGAGTGAGGAAAAGAAAAAAAAAAAGGAGTTTGCCTGAGAAAGGGGCAGACACGTGCTTTTCCCCATAATGGACTATTTTTCCTACCATGGACTGGTTTTCATCTAGCATCAGCCTTTGAAGACCCAAGACACGTGAGATGGACTATGTTACCCTTTATATTAGTTAGCATAGTTTCATTTCTTTA